CGCTGAAATCCACTTTCTGCTATGACTTTTTTAATCATCGTAAAAAATTATCACCTAAAGTCTTTTTTTTTGGTAGTGCATGCATAAATTGAAAATTTCTGGTCCATTTGCTATTATTCGAGAATTTCAAGCTACCCTTCATTATAGTACCTAAGTTCATTCTGTCTCCAAAATGAATTCGCAAAGGCATACAATCTGTCGTCTAATCATCATCAAAAGATTTTTTTTTTCTGTTCTTGGTTTTTTCAGTCTTTCACTACAATTTGTTCAGATCGATATATCCCTTGTCAAGTAGAAGTAATCGATCATAGTATGACTCCCAAGGGCTGACACCTCTCTCTTCGTATATGTTCACGTCACCTGCCAACAAATAAATAACCTGAAGAATCATCAACGATTGGCCCTGTGATGTGTCAGAACAGAATTAAGAGTCCTTAAATAATGCCATTAGTGCCATCCCACGAAGTATTCAGCAGTCAAAAGGTTGGAGAGGGAGGGGGTGTTAACACCAAGAAATTCATGCTATTTCAACACCTTTCTCATCGCATTTACCTATTTTTGGGATTAACTTGTGCATAATCTAGATTTTTTTCAAAGGTTTAAAAGATTATTGAGTATTTCACTTCCTTTAACTTGTGACTGAAGCTCCAAAGGGAGTGGTTAAAAGCTTCGAGAAAATGGAAGGAAGAAAGCTAGAAGCAAATTGAAAAAGAATCGGAGAAGCAATGGAAGATCTCTGCTCAGTCCTTCGCTATAGCAAAGGGTGTCATTCGCTATAGCTGAGGCTACATGATTTCAGAATGTGCTTTCAGTGTTGTTTGTTATAGCTAGTGAACGAGTAAAAACTGTTGTTATGGGTTTTGGTTGCTGATACCAAAATAGGATTGAATATAAGGGGAAAACGCGAAGGAAGCTGACATTCTTGGTTTTCAAAGAGCTGGAATAACACAGGGAGGCTTGAAAAAGAGGGGATTGAAGGCACTGAAGCTAGGATATGGTGTTTTGAAGAGATTTGAAACTCCAAACTTGGTTTTCTTTCTTTTTCCTTTGCCTTTTCAGTTGTAATTTGATATGCACCATATTTTTTTGCTGTATTTCTGGTTTCCTTAGGAATATGAGTGGCTAAACGCTTTGCTCTAAGGTTATTTCGAACCATTATACGGATTGTGATTTGGTTTCCCTCCTCTTTTAGCTATTAATGTTATATATGTGTTAATTTCATCTTGTGCTTCTTGCTCCTGAATGTCTGGCCACCATTTAGGAAGTTTTGTTTATCTAAATTTGACTTGAACAAACTTATTTTAACAAATAACTTAGGTAAAATTGCACTAGACTTGAAATTTGTGTTTTGAATGGATAGTTTGTTGATAACATAGGGATATAGTTACTCGGCCAGCATTGTAATATTAAAGTTGGGTTTTAAATGAATTTATATTGAGCGTTTCAAGAGATTGAGCATATTGATGAGAAAGAAAATTTGGTCTTAACTTGAGAAAGCTTAATCAAATATTTGTGAACTTTAGACAAGCATATCTTTGCATTAAGAAACTAATTAAAGAGGAATTAATTAAATCTTTTGAAGTACAATGGGGAGAAGTAATCCTAGCTTCTTTCCATTTTGAAGTCAAGCTTACAATCTAGTTTTCATTTAAACTGAATCTGTTTAACTTTTATTCAATTTTTCCTTTAAACAATACACTTTTCAAATGTTTTCATTTAACCTAATCATGAATACAATTCTAATTTTAAATTGTCTGGCCTTAGTGTCTGAGGGAAAGATATCTTTATACTACTTGCAACCTGTACACTTGTGATTAAGCTAAATGACAAATAGGAAGTTAGATTTCTAAGAGTAAAACATGTAATTTAGAGTTAATTCTCATGTGTTTAGTGCTCTAACCAACGAATAATTTAAGCATACCAAGGGCCTAAATGGGTGAGTTGCAATATATATTAATTAGGGATGAAGTTGAAAAGTTATTAATTTTTAAGACAAAATCAATAAAATATTAAGTTTTTTTATTGATTTTAAAGCAAACAATGACGGTGGTGACAACGGCAACGACCATGACTAAAATCTATAATGGGCCATATTGAAAGATACTTCCTCCATTTCGATTTATAAATAACTACTAACCAAATCACGTAGATTGAAATATTTATTAAAATTAGTTAAAAGGAAATAAATGTGTAAAAGATAATTTTTTTTCCAAATATACACTTATTTATGAAGATGATGAATGAGAGAGAATGTATGGCCTATAAAAGAGATGAGAGAGAATAAGTAAAAAATATATATGAGAAAAACAAGTAATGAATTAAAGTAAAAATGAAAAAGTATAGAATTTTTAGAGAAATAAAAAATATTATAAATATACTATCTCCGGTCTTTAATACAAAAACTCGTTTAACTTTTATTTGGACCCTAAATATAAGACTCTAATCTATTTTATCTCTTATATTTATCTATTTTTTTAAAGATAATTCTTAGAATAATAGTAGTTTTAACCAATATACATGATTAATAAGGATATTTTAAAAAAGACAACACATATTTATTATAAATAACTAATTTAAGTAATTTTTTTAATCTAATTAAATTAGTCAACTAATTTTTATATTAAACACCAGAGGTAGTAACAGGAGTAATCTTGTATGAGATCATATTACTTGTACGTAGATAGGAGCAGATGAAGTAATTATCAAACTTGGCAGCTTCTTATGATATTACCCCCGGCGTTACTGTTGTTATCACTTGTCACTCCCAGCGACCTTTTCACATCACTCTGTCAGCTTCTTCCATTCATTAAAGTGGTTTTACTTTTATTGCTCGAGCCTACTATCTCTCATGCTCTGCCTTTGGAGCCCCATCCACTTAAAAAACAGTAGAGAAAATTTCTCTACAATAGCAACCATTACTCACTTTATAGGATACATTAGTGCATTATTAATTAATATGTGGAAAAAATTTCTAAGAAAGTCAACTTGTTGCTGTTTTTTGTGAAAGGGCATTGTAGTTAATTAAGTATAAGGTCTTAAATTAGAGTCCGTATGAATATAACGCAAAAGGCACCTTTAAGAAATCTACTAACTTACTTTCATGCAAGGCATAACAGCATTCGAATTCAATCCAATAGTATTATACATACATTCTTGCCATTGAGAATTATTGATATTCTAAAATTTTCATGTATTTATTATGATATTTTTTCAACATCATTAATACCTTGGCTATGTGTTTCCCCATTCCTTCTTTTATTTTTGGCTCATCTGTTAAATATAAGAAGTGTAAGAATATGAACTCTCTTTTTGGTTATCATTTCTGTGGTATTAGAGCCTACATTCAAATCTGTGGAGATCTCATAATGACGAAACAGATTGGGTGTGGTCGAATTGGAATCAACGGAGAGTCGTCATTTTCCTAGTGAACAGATGTATCCAGCAGAATCACATGATTGTTGTCTCTTTGTTCTATTAAACATGGGAAGATGTATCCAGCAGAATCACATGATTGTTGTCTCTTTGTTCTATTAAACATGGAATTCCCAACGGTCACAGTAGCGTTCTCCTCAGTGTATAACTTGGCCCGCAAAAAACTAAATAATCTGACGAGTCATCAATGATTGGCCTGATGTGTGTCAGCATACAGAGGATTCCTTAAATTAATGCTCTTTTCTCCTTGAAGACAAAATCCAGGTGTCACTTCTAAAGCACAAAATTGCGAACAAGAAGAAGAAGAAAACAAAGCAATACTACCACCCTAGCTAGCTATTAGAAATTAAAAAGGAACAAATAAAAAGAGTGGTTCACAGCAGAAAGAGGGAACACAGAGATTTGAAAGTATAAACTAGAGGCAAAAGCAGGGGAGAAGGTCGTCAGACGTACAATAGGATACCCCTCCCCTCTCTATTATATTAGTCTTCATAGCAATTAAATTCAAACACATCAATTAAATATAGTGTGAATAGGTGTAATCTAAGAAAAAGAATTGAAGGTAGGGACCAGGGCATGCATGCACCTAAGACATCATACAAGGAGGAGGGACGGTGGCCCCCCACCGTTGGTGCGCCTGCATGAGGAACAGAGGGGCCATAAAAGAATGCACCAAACATCTTAACTTGTCGGTTGGGCCTGATGTACTTTGTTCATTATTCTCACCCTCAAGCCTTCTTCTATCTGCGGCTTCCATTTATTAAAGTTTCTTCCATGTTCAAGGCTTCTATGATCTTCCCCAGGGTCGTTGAGGCTACAACTGGTGTCCGTACACCCCCTTAACATTCTCGTACGGTTATTTGGGACTTTTTAAAATAATCACTTTAAAGTTTGACAGAATTGTTCACACATATTATTTCTTTCCGTATGGCATAAAAGTGCTTTTTGAAAGCTAATCTAAATCTCAGGTACTAAATAAGGTGTCGCTCTTGATCTCCCTCCCTCGTATAGCCGATCACTGTCTTGTCTTCTCCTATACTCCTTTATGTCATGATTTGTACTAGAGTACTGTATGCGATTACTGCTATTATATACTGTAGTTCTTCTACTGTGTTCTATTATCATCTCGAACTCTTTACACACACATACACAAATGCACCAGCGCTACGTACGCAGGGGATCAAAATCCACTTAATTATAGAACATTTCGCATAAATTCCTACTTGAGTTAGAGCCAAACACAGAACAGAAAGAAAGCTGAAAGAAGATAGACAAGTTAGTACGTGGTAATATCCTTTGTTACATGTAATCCTGAGTTTGGAACCCTATGTCTCAGAAGACGACAATTATATTACATGCACAAGAGGACAAACCACCAGAGCCTGACGAATAATTTATAGCTTACAGTTTTTTATTATCAATATGTTTCACAGGATGACAAGTAAGATGGATGGACAAGCCATTTATCAGATCCTCAAATGAAAACTACGGCATAAATGCATGGTTATGGTACGTACAACACTGATTAGATTGACTCTAACAAATATTTAAAACTCCATTAACTTGTCTCACAACACTGGGAAAACAGGTGGCGAACTATTGATGACCAGGTCCAGAATGGCTTCCCAGTCATCTCCAACACTTGAGACTCCCAACACACCGTCATCACGGAGATCTTCCATGGAATTTTTACAGTTATAACCTGTTGGTCTGAAAGCTTCTACGGCCAACATAATATTGTCCCCCTCTCCCAAGCTTTGCACTTTGTTTTCACTCTCATTTGCGACGTCGACGGTGGGGCTGGTAGAGGATGAAGCTGGAAGTAAACTTTGATTGATCTGCCCTAAGGCAGAATTACCATTACTACGACATTTGGTAGGGACGTCGTACGGGAAGCTCAACGTGGATGCCGGCGACTCAAGGTCGTCGGTGGCGAGCACAATGGCATTCATGCTATGCATTCTGTGGGTGTTCTCTGTTGAGGGCTTCGACGTGGACAACCAAGAATTCTGCCATACCTTGAGCACGTCGAGGCAGGGAGGTGGCGATGGCCGCGGTGTGACGTTGTTGAGGACGAGCCGAGTCAGTGGAGGCTGGGAAGAGGAGTAGGGGGAGTCGAGCTGGTTCTGGAGCTGCAGTTCCGAATATTCTTTTAGTTGCCGGGCTTCGGCTTGCAGCCGAGCAGTCTCCCACTGAGCCATATGGCTGAGGTTGGCTGCGTCATTGACGATGTCATTTATGGGCTTGAGGGTGGTGGGATTGATACCCATTCTGGTGAGCCTCTTCTTAAGGTGGGTGTTCCAGTAATTCTTGATCTCATTGTCTGTTCTCTTTGGCAAGTGATGTGCTATCACCGACCATCTGTACATGCATTGTAAAACATAGAACACCAAGAAACTTATATAATTAGGCATAACAAAATTTATGAAAAGAGAATAATATGCAGGTAGATATGTGTGTGTGTGGGTGTGTTTGTCTGTGTCGTGCCATGTGATTACTTGTTTCCGAGAAGAGCATGAAGTCGTATAATGGTCTGATCTTCCTGCAAGCTGAAGTTGCCTCGTTTGATGTCAGGTCTTAGATAATTAATCCATCTCAGTCTGCAACTCTTCCCACATCTTCGGAGTCCTTTTCCTCATCAAAACTTAAAACGCATTATTCATCTTCCTTAACAGATAAGTCTCCATTATTCATCTTCCTCAGTCTACTCATACATTGTTTGGTTTTGATTAAGACCAACAAGTTTCTAAACAGATGCTATTATGGAACAAGGAATAGTAGAAATTACAATACCAGCGCTTGCAGGCAAGGAAGACCAGCTTCCATGGCCGTGTAGTTGAATGTAAGACATGAGCTTCTCGTCTTCCTCGGGAGTCCATGGTCCTTTCTTCAACTCGCCCAGCTTCTCGCTGCACGATGATGACTTCACCATTTTATTTTCCAGGAAAATGCTATAACTGGAGAGATATAGAAGAAATAAGAAACTGTAAAAACGAGAGAGAGTGCACTATGAAACAGACAATTGAGGCAAGTTGAAAGTGTTCACAAAAAATGTATAAATAAGTAAAGGAAGCAGGTCGGGGAAGTTGAGGTTGCATACATACATACATAGTACATACAGATGTGTGTGTGTGTGTGTGTAGACGTTCCCTCTTAGGATGTCCTGAAAATGCTGAAGTGAAGAGACGATTAAATGGAGCTACCTTAGTAATGCATATCAATGAGACACACACACGAACCAAGTTAATTAAAAGAAGCAGATGAGAAAATGTAAGAGACAAAATAGAGCGTCCTATATGGCATAGAAATATATCGCCCTTACTTTCATTGCAATGATAAATATTTTTCTTTAATTTCATTTTGAAAATTTATATAGATTTCTCTTAACCTTTAAGGTACACATTTGGACTATGATGACTGCTACTGTAAAATTCATTTGAATACTTATGTTACCCAAAAAAAAAAAAAAAGTGGTTTTAATACACACACATGTTAAGCTTTGGTTACCATATCATTTGACTAGTGTATCCTTAGTCTTATCACTTTAAAGCCTTTAGAGGAATTTATTTAAATTTATTAGTTTAGGAATTTTTCAAACATAAATGCTGTGCAAAACACGCGCACACACAAAGACACTTAATTAACTGATTAGAAATTTAATGTAACAAAGGATACATTAGTCAATATTATAATTAATGTTAATTTAGTTTTTGCTCAATAAATATCATTTGTAAAATAATCTTTAAGGAATCTTGCCAACGTTGTTAAAAGGTTGAACTAAAATGTTGATTTAAAGAAAAAGAATAATACATCTCTATTATTAAAGTAAAGTAGAATGGTGTCAAAGCTTTTTCCCCCCCGTATTATTACTGTACATAAAAGCTTATCTATGATGTTTAGTTGAAAAGAATTAAGTGAGAGTAGAGGGGTGTCGCTTTCGGTCGAGGTGGCCAGCTACAACACCGCCACCGTATATACGGACTCAGTGAGTTTGGTGTCCCCATTAAATATTTTAATTTTGGCAATTAAAAACGTATTCGATTATCCTAAAACAGACAAGAAGAAAAATGAGAAAGATGCGATCGAATCGAAGTGCTCAAGTGACGCCGCTCAGTGGCCATCATGAAGTACGGACACAAAAGAAAAAAAAAAAGAATGTTGGAGAGAAATAAGAGAGAAATCTCGCTATATCTTACGGGAGAGAAGAAGTTATTTTTGGATAAAGAAGAATTAGAGAGAAAGGCTATTTTTCTCCTTTATTTTTATCCCCTTGTGCTGCTCAAGGAGGGATCCATTGAGGGGATCTTTCTCTATAGTTTATTCTTACCTCTGAAGCACTATCTTCTCTGATTTCTTTTCATGCTGATTACAGTAACTTCAGTGGGATTAACCTTGCCGCAAGTGGTCCGATATTAACACATTGTCTCTATATGAAAGCTAATACAGATAATTGTAGTTTGTTTGTGAAAATTCTCCAGAAAATGAACTATGATATTGATTATAGGGAGTGTTTGAATTAGGTTTTTATAAGTAATTTCACAAAATACGAGATGAGCATGTGATTAGATTTAAGAATGTAGCTTTAGCCTATGTGCCCGACAAAATAGGAAGAAACATACAAGGCAATGCTTGTCTTTAATATAATCAGTGGTAAGTGCCATTCTAAGATCTGCCCCATATATATGTCATGCTTTATGTTTCCTGAGCAAATTAAACTCGTATATCTGGATCGTTTTGTTTCAAACTTTTTCTGGGATGACTCTTGCGGATCCGGCAAAATTCATTGGGTTGCAAGGAAATCTCTATCCAAATCAAAGAGAGAGGATGGAATGGGATTCAGAGAGTTTATGAGCTTCAATAATGCTCTCTTAGCTAAAACTGCTTGGAGAGTGTTGAAGAGCTGTAAAACGCCCCAAAGCCTCTTGGGTCTGGGACAGTATCCTAACGGGACGCAATTTTCTCAGTAAAATTAAAATCTTTGCTGGCAAATATAGGCACTGGCCATTTCATCAGAAATTTGGAAAGACCCATGGATTATTGGGACTATTACCTGCTGCCTAGAAGAATTAATGTTGTTCGTAATCCAGATATGGTGGTTGCTTAACTTATTCAGGATGGACAATAGAACTTAACTTCAATACTTGGCAATGTTGGCTCTTTTCCCGACATCAAATATTCTCAAAAAAATTTAATACGTCCACCGTTTCAAAATAGTTTTCTAATAACACTCAGTATTTTAAATTTAAGATACTTGTCACTACTGGAAAAAATATTTTAAGAATAGATAAAATTGTACCAAAAATATATTACTAGAAAAATATAGAGTGTTGAATGTGTGAAAAATCCATTTAGAATTTAAAATATTATTAAAAAATATTTTAAATTACTGGATGCATGTAACTTAATTCTTACAGTAATAATAATAATTACAATCACAATGAACATGAGTCATAAGAAACGGGACCAAATTTGGTACAACTTTTTATTAAAAAAAAAAGGAGAATTATTATGAAATATTAAGAAATGAATATAACAACTAAAAATTTCAATAATAAATGAGCAGCATGAATGTGTAAAATTTATCATGACATACGATTCAATTGTTGTGAGATATTTTAGTAATTATATATTTTTCTTTGTTGACAAAAAAAGTAATTATTATATATTTTAAAAAAATTATAATAATTCAACCCCAAAAAAAATATTAACCCCGCGCGGATGTTGCTCTGGATCGCTTGTCCCATTCAAAGAATCAAGAGCCCTCCACTTCGCTTGTCTGCTTCTTCCAGTTATTAAAGTTGCCCTACATGACCTTTCCAAACTAAAAAAGCAAAATGTTGCTTTTACATTTAATGCTCAAGCGTTCTGTGTCTAATCCTCGGTGATTGGAGGCCTTGTAAATAGGTGCTGACCCACATCCACCTGCACCGTCTCACAAGAGTAGTGATAATAAATATAGTGAGTACTAAAATAAATAATTTACGAAGTAAAATAGAAAATTGGGCAAGAAAATTTAAAACATCTTACAAATATTTTTTCTAAATAGAAACAAGATAGGAGTGGTAGTTGTTTCTCCTACTAAATTAAATTAACGACCTTGATTATTTTGCAACGTGTGGTTGCGGCACCTTTGACCTCAAAATGGTGTCATGTTGATAATGAGTTGTGGAATGAGTTTCAATGTTAAGCAAATTGATGAGCACCGAGAACTTATCATCAAGAACTTAGTGTAGATATCATTAATTTCCTAGGTTTTTCTCACAGTTAATATCCTTATTTACAAAAAAAAAGAGTTATTTTTAGAGAAAATGACATATTTTAATACAATGATAACAAATACATAATTTAACATTTTTTAATCTCCATGAGTGATTACCTTTGGTCCTACATAATTTGATTATTTGTAACTTTTATGTACAGAATTTAGGGAACAGTTAATTAGATTTTATATTTTATATCTTGCGCACCTGGTACACAAGGAAATGGTAATAACTAGTAACAACGACGGAAGGAAAGGAAACGTGTACTTGTGCCATTAAAGAACGGACCTACCTACCTTCATAAAACTTCATAAAAGAAGACGCAAACGCAAGAGTAATACTATGAATCCATGTGTTGGTTGGGAACATGGGTTTCATAGAGAGAATATTGCGCAGTTTAGAAGAGCCGTACAACGCTCCAAAAGCGTATCCCACATGTTGTTGTTGGTTTTTTTTGGGCCTGCAAATATATTATTGGGTTAAGGTGCATTCACCGTCCTATCATATTTCTCATATACATCTAATATTTCAAAATATTTTATAATGCATTTAACATATCAAAATATTTTTCTTGTTTGGGTGCTAGATGTGTTAAAAAAAATTTTGGATACTAGATGCACCTCAAAAATATTTTAAGATGCTAGATGCATTAAAAAATACTTCATAGTGTTGAATGCACCTAAAAAAAAATACTTGAGGGTGCTGAATGTACATGAGAAAATATTTAAAGACGCTGGATGCACCTTAATCCTATGTTGTTTGCTAAACCAATGCGTTGCTGCACTCTAACCCCTTGCTTGGATTGAGAAAAAAAAATTATGGAGAAGAGAAAACTAGAAAGAAGAACATGAAGAGAAATGAATTTTTCTTTGCTCGGATGAAAGAGAAAATATGGGAGAAATGAAAAGTGGGGAAGAAAATAAGGTGAACCTCATGTCTCATTTTCTCTCTAAATTTTCTCTCCATATATGAACAGATTTAGGAAGAAAAACAAGATTTTTGTGATTGCCCCTTATTTCTCTTCCTCTCCATATTTATTTTCTTTTATTGTATTAAAAAAATTATTCACTTTTTATTTTTTATCTTAAAACAATATTTTTATTAAATAATTTGGCTTTAAAATATAATAATCTGAAAAAATAAATAAAACAAATAACTTGATTTAAATTATTTGATGATGCTAATGTTAGTATAATTTTCTTATTGCAATATTTAACTTGATTTAATTTTAAATATGATATATTTTGATAAGGATATTTTGGTCATTTAGATATTTACTCATTTTCTTTCTTTTCTATTTTCTCTCGTTTATCTAAACAAGATGGATAATAACATCTTCTCTCCAATTTTCTCTTTTCTCTATTTTTTCTCCTCCCAGGTTTTTTTTTCTCTCAACTTTTTTCCCATCCAAGCCGAGCATAAATGTTTTTTGTAATATCTCGAGTTTCTAAATTTGTTTTATTTAAAATTATATTTTAGGTAAAATAAGTGGTATTTTAATATTTTATAAGTATGAAATGATACATATTAAAAATTTTATATTTTTTTAAACAAATAAATCAAATTAAACCGCACATTTTAAAAGTATTTTTATATAATATTTTTAAAAATTAAAAAATGTATTATTTCATGTTCGTAGCCTGGGGCATTACAAAAGGCATTAGCAAGAGAGACATTAATCAAAGGCTCTTGCCTACAAATGGCAACAATGAGGAAAAATATACTATCCTATGTTTAATATAAGAGATACATAACTAAATTGCAGATGTTAAGATAATTAGTTATTTATAATAAATATGTATTGATTTCTTTATAATACGTTTTTTAACTATGTGCACACTGTAACTATCCTTTGAAGAAAATTTTCTCACCATACTTTATGAAAAAAAATTATAAATTGAGATTTTATATTTAAAATCAAAATAAATTTCTTATCAATTTCTTATATATTTAGGAGTGGAGGGTAGCAGGAAAAACAGACAACTCTTCCTTTTATCCAGATGACAAATTCGAGTCTACGTACCTGGTTACCGATGGAAAAGAATAGTGCAGAGCGGCGACGCCATATTAAAGCAAGTGAAGGTTAGACAGACTGAATAGCTCTCCACTTTTCCGGGATCCAGATTTTTGAACGGAATAAAGAAAATCAGTTATTGAGTTGTAGATGATGAAAATCAGTGAGGGAAGACGATGATGGATGGTGGCGGAAGACGAAGAATTAAGAAGCTATGTCGATGGAAGATAACGGCGAAGAATCAAAGGTAAGAAGACGACGATGATCGAAAGAAAGAGGGAAGAGTAAGTCGTTAACACATGTAACATAAAAAGCTATAATAACACAAGACACATAAGGCTATCATGAAGCTAAACCACGGACCAAATCAAAACTATAGCAAACATGCATGGCTAATTATATGATGCAACACTAAATATTTCTAACCATGGACCAGGTCAAGAATGGCTTCCCAATCATCTCCAAAACTTGAAACATCCAAGTTTTGTTGTGGTGACATCTCACTAAATCCATACACCAACAGATCATCATTATGGATACCTTCCATGGAGCTACAGTCATACCTTGTTGATCTAAATGCTTCCACAGCCACCATAACATTGTCCTTGTCTCCCAAGCCTCCAACTATGTTTTCACTGTCGCTCGCTTCTTTCATGATTCCACTGTCATTTGCGACGGTGGTGGAGGAAGAAGGAAATGAACTCTGATTGATCAGCCCAAATGTATTGTTACTATCAGTACATTTGGAGTTGGGAGGGACAGTGTCCGGGAAGCTCAACGTGGACGCCGGCGACTCGACGTCGTCGGTGGCGAGCATCATGGCGTACATGCTATGCGCTTTGGGGGTGTTCTCTGTTGAGGGATTCGACATGGCGGACGACCATGAATTCTGCCATACCTTGAGCACATCGAGGCAGGGAGGTGACGATGGGCGAGGTGTGACCTTGTTGAGCACGAGCCGAGTCAGTGAAAGCTGGGAGGAGGAGGAGCCGAGCTGGTTCTGGAGCTGCATTTTTGAATAGCCTTTGACTTGCCTGGCTTCGGCTTCGAGCCGAGCAGTCTCCCACTGAGCCATATGGCAGAGGTTGGCGGCGTCGTCTACGGGCTTGTCGGTGGTGGGGTTGATGCCCATTCTGGTGAGCTTCTTCTTAAGGCAGGTGTTCCAATAGTTCTTGATCTCGTTATCCGTTCTCTTCGGCAAGTGATGTGCTATTAACGACCACCTTGTACGTGCATTAGAAACTATTTAGGAATCATAATATCCATGAACTTCAGATCACATGATGGAATCACTATATATGGGTCGACCATTCGTTCAAAAATTGAACCTTTGGGATAAGTGGGACTGTGGAACTTACTTGTTTCCGAGAAGAGCATGAAGTTGAATAATGGTCTGGTCTTCCCGCAAGCTGAAGTTGCCTCGTTTGATGTCAGGTCTTAGATAATTAGTCCATCTCAGTCTGCAGCTCTTCACACATCTTCGGAGTCCTTTTCCTCATCAAACTTAAAACTCATTACTCATCTTCCTTAACGGATAAGTCTCTAATTATCTTTATTTTTTGACCAACAAGTCTCTAATTATCTCCTCGTTATTAAAACAGAGTCATATGCGAGTATGTGTGTGCATGTGAGGAGCAAGAGGTTGTAGAGTGATTACCAGCTCTTGCAGGCAAGGAAGACCAGCTTCCATGGCCGTGCAGATGAATATAAGACATAAGCTTCTGGTCTTCCTCGGGAGTCCATGGCCCTTTCTTCAACCCTGCTAGTTTCTCGCTACACGATGATGACTTCACCATATTATTTTCCAGGAAAATTCTATAACTAGAGATATAGAAGAAATAAGAAACTGTAAACACGAGAGGAAGTACTGAGCTATATATGAAACAGATAAGCACAAAAAATGTATAAATAATTAAAGGAAGCAGGTCGGGGAGGTTGAGGTTATGCAGATGGTCTACGGTTCCAAGGATATAATATAATCATGAAAAAATGCCAATCACTAGTGGGTATTCGAACCTATTTTCATTTTTCGTACTAAAATTTATTATTCAGTTGTTGGGACTCCTTGATTGCGCAAAGGTATATTTTCCTGTTTTTCATGATAAGCACAGGTATAATCCTATTAGAAATAATAGGCGCAAATTGTATCCTCTTAGCTTACTTGAGACAATTTTATTTGAGGTGGTGTCCGCCATTATATATGTGTACTTCTCCCAACAAGATTTAAATACTGGTTTGTTGTGTGAGGGATTAATATCTTCCAGCTCCCACTAAACCCCAGCTTCTCTGTTGGTCCCCCATTTTTCATTTTAGTCATAAAAAATGTCTTTTATTTTGCAAATATAAATAGATTTTTTTAAAATAAGAATTATGTTACGCAAAATTTATTTTTTTATTTTTAAGATTCTATTTTCATCCATTTTCAGCTGTTAATTGACCACATTAGATTACATATTTTGGACTCCTTCAACATGACTTTTATTTAAAAATCATTTGGATGCTTAATTATATTACCCAAAAGTAATTTTATTACACATATTTGATATACTTTTGTTATCATTTTACAACACAGATTAATTTATTAACCAAAGATTTTGTTTAAAAATTGGATCTTTCAACACACACATATATACACAGAGTTAAAGATTTAATCAAATAGTTTTGATAACACTATCAGGCTCTAAATATGGGCATACCTCCCAATGGGGATTCTAACATTGCTTCATCATGTTGAAGAGAACTAGCCTCTTTTGTTAAACTATATCCCAATAAGAAATAAATTAGTCAATATAATTAATATTAACTTAATTAACTTTTGCTTGGTAAATATAATTTTCAGAGTCTTTTTAAAAAAATTTACTAGCGTTTTTAATATGTTGCGCTAAAATGTAGGTTTTTAAAATAACAAAAAGGTCTACATAATTAAAGAAAAATTGAGGCATATTGTCAAAATCAAATTTTTTGTATTATTACTACTATACATAAAACTTATACATGTATTTACCAAGAACTTGTGGTTTTTAGTTGGTAAGAAATAAATGAAAATAAATAGAAGGAAGACAATTCATCCGACTCATCAACATCATTTTTTATGTAATAGGGTGCGCTCCACGTCGTTTCGTCGCTTTCACTTTAGCTGGCCTACGATAGCGACGCCCCACACACACAGACACACACAAAATCTTCTCTGTAAGTTTTTAGGATTTTTGCAATTAAAACTCAGTCGAAAAACACACACACAAAGTGTGTATTCATTAATTCAACAGTGGTACGATATGAGATAATTTACAGTAGCACTATGATGCTTTGGAATTATTACGGTTATCAATTCAATTTTATGGCATAATTAAAATTAACGATATATAAAGAGCTAGCATTGTCATCAGTTAAAAGTTTTCTATAGAAGAAATAAAATAATGAGACAGTAAAACAGATATATCAATAAAGGACTTCGTCTTCTAATGCATGGCGGTCTTAGGTGGAGGTGATGAATTCTCTGATCAATACCAGCCCCAACGTCAATCCACAAGGCCTGAGCTAATGAGGCTTTTTTTTTTTGTTTTTTTTTTTAAAAAATAACTGCATAATTTCAAAGAACACTGGTAATATAGGTTTGAGTTACAAAGAGTACAGACCCAGATAAGAATAACAATGATGTTCTCAAGTGGCAATTAATCATTGAGAAAATTACATTTATTCCCTATTGTATGTCCCACAGTTTCCAACAGAAGGTGCCACAAAAAAACAAAAAGGAACTGGTTTTTATACTCATCTTAAAAATGGGCACTCAAAACTCATCATATCTATTCATTCACATCTAATTTGGAGATTTATTATTTTTCATTGAGAGTTAGGAGGTTATTTTATTTTAGATAATCCACTGCTTAGCACGACGATTGTATTGCTCTCCTATAATCCTACTTTCATGGTTTAAGCTGCTCCCATTTCATTTACTGCTGCTACAGAAATTGCTTTTGCTTCTTTCTCCCCCCCCCCCCTGACTACTAAGATGTTTCAATTTGCCATGTTGTCTTTTGCCTGCCTTTGGACACAGCAGCAGCTCGAATCAATTATATATAGTTGGAAAAAACTATTAAGTATTATTATTTGCTTACAAATCTTTAAGAGGTATGTGAGGCAATATAAAATTTATACAATGCTTTGGAATTATCACGATTATCATTTGATTTTTTTTTTTGTTATCATGACATGACATGAAATGAAGAATATGAAGGCTAATCATAATTAATTTTTTAAGTATTTTCAACTGAATGCTCCTGTACATATAGGAAAAAACCGTACAAAGTTGAAAGTGTGAATTAATGCACAGATATCAAATATGATGGTAGTAAAATAGTATTTACGTCTGTGTTTGCTTTTATCATCAAATTTACCGAGCTTCAGTTTTAGGGAGTGTTTGAATGTTATGAGAAATGCTTTTTAAAAATACTTTTTTACAAATGAAAATAAACTTCTACACATATTTATTTTTGAAACCTTGATTTAGTTTCCATCCAAATACTTCCTTAATATATGTGAGTATGTAGATGCATGCAGTAAATAACACATGTTAGAAGAATTATTTAATACTATCTTCAGTCCTTAATATAAAAGCTAATTGATCAATTTGAATGGATTACAAAAATTAGTTAAATTAGTTATTTATAATAAATAGATATCTTTTCTTAAAATATTCTTACCAATCAAATGTATTGGTTAAAACTACCAGTATTACAAGAACTATATTAGAAGAGAATGAATAAATATAAAAAAAAAAGTAAACTGGGATATTATATGTAATATTAAAATAAAAGTCAAACAAGCTTTTATATTAAGAATAATAAGCAGTATTAAGAAAGCACGTTCACCTTTGATTTTTTTTTTTTTTTAAATGCCAACTACATTTGATATTGCCAACAAGTAGCATATTTCCGTGAGCCTGCGATAATTGTGACTATGCGGGGTGACGTCTAATATGCTCATTATCTATAATATGTTAAACACAATTAATTCTTTTGAGTCTGTTCAAAAGCTTTGAATTTTAGAAAATATGCTTTAAAAGATTATCTAGAATAATTTTAGAAAATATGATAAAAATTACAATATATGTAACTATACATTTTTCAAAACACTATGTAAAAAAAATTATTTTGTGCATCCTACAGGGCTGCAACCATGGGTTGTGAACCCATCCCTACACTTGCAAAGAGCTTTTTCGGGCCAATATATCATCTGGCCCATCGGGTCGGTTTTTGATCTTGGGCCTTATTTGACCAACCAAAACATTTCTACACTCGATGAAACTACTTCCATTATTTGGGCTTTCAAGCTTCTGAGTTGCTGGTGGACCCCATCAGAATCTTCCCCCCCCCCTCATTAAGCATTAGTATCTAGGAGTGTGCATAGACCAAAGTCGACTGAGTTTGCTATCAACCTAAAGTCTAGTTCAGTAAGAACCTCAAGTTTAAAAAGATAGCCCAAAGTCTGTTTCAATCCAATACAATCTGAGATCAAGTTAAACTGGACTTCAGGACTGCAATTTAATTTTTTTAAAATTTTTTCTTTAATAGACAACTTACTATATATAATTTTGCACATGTTTTGATCAAAACTTCATCAAATTTGATCACTTTCTTTCAATTTCTCAATAATGTCATGTTTTATTTATTAATCTTTATCTATATAGATCATATATTGAAGAAAATATATACACATGCTTATCACTTGGGAAGTTAATAGATAAATTTTTATTATTTGAAAAGACAAAAAATTTATATAGAAAAATTAAAACAAATTAAAATTATATAAATAATATTTAAAAATTAAAAAAATAAAAACTTGGGCCAAACTGGATCGGACCAACTGGTTTGAGGAGTCAGTTCCCAGTCTAGTCCAGCTCGATGAGACTAGTTTAGTCTAATCTAGTCTAGTCTTACTTTGAGCTGATTTTTTCTGGACTAGACAAACTAGACTAGGTTTGCTTCGGTTGGACCAAGTCATGCCGGACTACAGGACTTTTGCACTGCCCTACACGTTATCCTCTTATTGATAAGATTATCATATCAAAGTAAAGTAGATTTTCATAGAATATATCGTATTCTTTAACCAGTCTTAAATCATATCTTTCAAGCCAGATCTTACTTTTTGCCACATCAAGTTTTGCTATAACATTATTGACATCTTAAATATATTTATTCATGATTATTTATTTAGATTCCCACAGCTATGTCATAACTTATTAATAATGATATTTGGAAAAAAAAGATGTTAATAATATTAATTCTCTTAATTACTTTTTGTTTTTTAAAAAAAAACAACCAGTCTCCAAATACAAAGTCTGAAGAAATTATGACAAAAACATTGATTGTCACTATGGCTGGCTCTGTGAGGCGTCAGAACAGAAGAATCCTTGAAATAATGCCCTTTCTTTAAAAAAAAAAATTAAATACTATACTCTTCAACAAATAAAAGAAATATTCTTAATTCATACGGACATGAAGGCTGAAGCTGCAGTAGTAATAATAATGGACGCCACCGATGCGTACAAGTGGCCATAAAAGACGGGGAGAATTATAATCAAATCCCAAAAAAAAAACTAAAAAGTCTCAATAATAATCTGAGCAGTTTGAAATGACAGGTTCTAGAGTGAAGAATAATAATTTTTGAGACTTATTTTGTAATTTTTTTCCTTCTATGAAACCTCATTGTAATTCTTCCTAGAAGATAGTACTTAGTTACTCCTCTGGTCCTATTTATAAGATAGAGAGAGAAGATTTTTTTAATCTTATTTGTAGGTCACCTCATTAAATTTTTATCATAAATGTATTATATGATCTTTTATTTATTGTAGTGTAGATAATTATTTTTTTAAAAATGTATATATTAAATAGGAGTAAATTTGAAAAGTTTCTATATTTTAATAAAGAGTTAATATAGTTTAAAAATTTTTTTTGATACATGTAAAATATGTTAGAAATACTTTATAAATAGCACCAGGGAATAACAAACTACTGTGTTATTCGCTGGTCTCTCTCTCAAGACCCTCTGCTTCTTTCATTTATTAAACATTTAATGCTCTAGCCTTTTATGTCTGCCACTGAACAGCGCTTATGATCTTCTGAATATTATTGCGATTATTATTATTATTGGTGCTTATAGTTTAATTAAATTTTGATTTTAGTATAAAAATTGAGGCTAGTCGAATAAATTAGTCACTCATAACATAGTGAATCAAAGTTTCAATTCTTACTACGAGCCGTTCACATCGAACTTCTGACAGTGCTTCAAATATGACTCCCTCCAATTTGGTTTTGGTTTATAAATTTTAATGAGTTTTGGTTTTAGTTCTTATAACTATGTTAACTGTTAAACTTAAATCAAGTCCTTATAAAACTATCATGATAAAAAATCATGATTAAAATTATAGGTATTAAAACTAAAATTTGAGCGAATTGTAATGACTAACAATAATATTAACTCATATTGTTACTCTCTAATTATAAATATAAGAGTTAGTTAATTGAATATTACTTTTGAGTTAGTTAATTGAATATTACTTTTGAGTTAGTTAATTGAATATTACTTTTGATCTGTAATATAAGAGTTAGTTAATTAATTTGAATAGATTAAAAAAATTAGTTAAGTTGGTTATTTATAATAAATAGGTGTTGCCTTCCCTAAAATATCATGTATTAGCTAGAATTATCATTTGATGAAATTTTTAACACATGTGCAATACTACTATACTACAAGGACTACCTAGAAAAAATGAACAAGTATGGGATAATTAAAGTGGATTGGAATATTATACCAAATTAAATATCAAACTAGCTCTTATATTAAAGAGCAGAAGTAATAATTCGTTTGTAGTCTTATACGCAAACATTCAGTCTCCTTTGTCATTTTATTTAGTATTTTTTAAACCATCTCTATAATTAGATTCTTACATAATATGAATTATGTTGATAATACTCTGATATGAATGATTAAAAGGAGAGAAAATTCTAGGAAAATCAACATGTGTTTTATTATAAATAATCAACCTACCTAACTTGTTTAATATATATAAATTAATTAGCTCATAAATTTGGGATGGTAGGGAGTACTAAACAAGTAATTAAGACAAGAATATAATATTAAATATTAAATAATTTAAGGTGGGATCAATTTGAATATATGGCACCTTTATACACACACTCTCTCCATATATTCTTTTTTAATAGAATTTGAGATATTTGTTTTAGTTTTTTATACGCAATATGGATATGAATTAACTAAGAAAGAACTCTACAAAGCAACAAAGTGTTGGTTACAGTCGAAAAAGCTCTATATAGGCTTCAGGCTAGCCTATAAATACGTGCACACACATGTAAAATTTTTTATCGTTGTCTTTTGTAAACCCTTCACAGAGAAGAAAGCCGAAAGAGGAGAAACAAGTGTTGTACGTAGTAATAAGCTTGTTATCATATGTATAGTCCTCACTTCGGAACCCTCCATTTAATTCACATGAGCACCATAAACGACCATCACTGCCTCAGTATCCAATAACTAATAGCTTATAGCTTATAGCTTTATTATCAATAAATTTCACAACATCACGTTTACATACATGGACTGGACAATCTGTTTTATATTACTTGTCAAAAGCAAAAAAAAATAAAAAGTCTTTATAGAGACTACATAAATCATTGAGTAACACCAGATTTTGTAAAATTAATTTACCACTTCTTTGAAATATAATATCATGAAATATGAAAAACACATTTATTGTGAGAGATAATATTAAATAGCTAATAACTTTTGTAGTCTAGTATCATGAATGCGAGAAATCCTGATTATATAGAGAATTACAATCAGGTCTTAAGAAAGAGATTTAATTATCCTAAAGTCTATTAACAAGTGAAAAGCACGCAATAATAATTTCTAAAACAGAAATTGATAATAAGTTCAGGCTGATCACTTATCATTAAAACTTTTTGATAATTAAATTTTTTTTTCTTGGGACTCTTTAGTAATTCTCCCATTATATATAGCCCGAAGGAAAACGAGATCAACCAGAGAGTGTCACGGAGTTCCCAATAGCCGTACGACGCTTCAAAACCTGCCCTCTCCGCTGTTTGCAAAACCAAGGATTCCAAGATACTTGGAATTTCCTAGCATAGCGCAAATTATACTATAAAGTGAATCTTGTATTAATTTAAATAGATTGAGAAAATTAGATAAATTAGGTAATCATAACAAATATGACATGATCTCCTTAAAGTATTATTGTATAATATTAGATTATATATCAATACATAAGTATAAAAGATAAAGTCAGAGATAAATTAAAACTTCAATTAACTCCTATATTACGGGAAGAGTATAATATAATAAGCTAAGACATCATGTCATCACTTAGCTAAACCTAGACTCACATATGCTCATTTAGACGAGTTAATTTAATGCAGACAACACAAACTTGTCAAATTAAAAGTACAGCATAAATGCATGCAGCCATGCATGATTATATGGTACAACACAGATCAGATCCATGAATGGGTCTCACAATGCAGGGAAAACAAGTGGCGAACCATTGGCCAGGCCCCGAATCGCTTCCCAGTCATCTCCAACACTTGATGAGATCACTCCCAAGTTTTGTTGTTGTAACGGTGAATTCTCAGTAAATCCATACACCAACAAATCGTCATCATGTAGATCTTCCAGGGAATTGCAGTCATACCCTGTTGATCTGAGTGCTTCTCCGGCCACCATAATATTGTCCTCGTCTCCCAAGCTTCGGACTTTGTTTTCACTGTCATTTGCGACCACGGTGGTCGTGGAGGAGGAGAAAGGAAGTGAACTTCGATTGATATTACTATTAATGCATTTGGAGTTGGCAGGTACGTTGTGCGGGAAGCTCAACGTGGACGCCGACGACTCGAGGTCGCCGGTGACAAGCATCATAGCGTACAAGCTATGCCTTTTGGGGGTGTTCTCTGTTGAGGGCTTCGGAGTGGACAACCAAGAATCCTGCCATACCTTAAGCACGTCGAGGCAGGGAGGTGGCGATGGGCGAGGCGTGACCTTGTTGAGGACGAGCCGAGTCAGTGAAGGCTGGTGGGAAGAAGAGGAGAAGCCGAGCTGGTTCTGAAACTGAAGTTTGGAATATTCTTTGACTTGTCTGGCTTCGGCTTGAAGCCGAGCAGTCTCCCACTGAGCCATATGGCAGAGGTTGGCGGCGTCGTTGATGGCCTTGTGGGTGGTGGGGTTAATACCCATTCTGGTGAGCCTCTTCTTAAGGCAGGTGTTCCAGTGGTTCTTGATCTCGTTGTCTGTTCTTTTTGGCAAATGATGAGCTATCACCGACCATCTTCATGTACATGCATTGTAGTATCGCATAGTACACCAAGAAACTATATAATTACGCATAAAATGGTACTCATATGAAGAAGAAAAGAGTAATAATTTGGTATTTATAAGATATCATGCTCTTGCCTTTTGATGAAGAAGGTAGTTCTGATCATAACAAAACATTATTATACCCTTCGATGTTTAGTATGAAAGTCACTTAACAAATTTCGATAAATTAAGAAAACTAAATAAATTAGTTAATCGTTACCTGTTTCCCAGAAGAGCATGAAGTTGAATTATGGTTTGATCTTCTTGTGAGCTGAAGTTACCTCGTTTGATGTCAGGTCTTAGATAATTATGCCACCTCAGCCTACAGCTCTTCCCACATCTCTTGAGTCCTTTAATTTTGTTCACCAAAACTTAAAACGCATTACTCATCATCATCGTCATTGATCATTTTCATTATATATATGTTGATTGCCTTGAGAAGATCCAGAAGGTTTTTACCTTTTAGAATAAATCCAGCAGTACGGCTATCTATGGAAACTCATTATTCAACGGTTCTTACAGTTTTCGAGGTTACATTGATCCAAACCAACAGGCTTCTAATAAACACACTATGAAACAAGGGACATAGTATGAATTACCAGCTTTAGCAGGCAAGGAAGCCCAGCTTCCACGGCCATGTTTTTGAATGTAAGACATGAGCTTCTGGTCTTCTTCAGGAGTCCATGGCCCTTTCTTTAACTCTACTAGTCTCTCGCAGGCCGATGATGATGACTTCACCATTTTGATTTCTAGGAAAATGCTATAGCTGCAGAGATAGAAGAAACAATATATAACTGTAAACACAAGAAAGTGAATGAAATACGAAACAGATTCAGTAAGTTGACGGGCGTTCACAAAATCATAACGATAATAAAGGAAACAGGTCAGGGAGATCGAGGTTACATATATATATATATATATATATATATATAATATTCCCTCTTAAGCGGTCTCCGGTTGAAGATAAAGAGAGAAAAGGAAGGAGCTTGCAGAGTGAAGAGATGAGTATGGAGCTACCTTGGAAATAATGCATATCAAGGGGATGTATACAGACACACTGCTTCAGGTGATTAATGTGGGCGTTAATTGGGGATTGGATTTGATCCTGAATATATTTTCTTCATTCTTCATTATAAGATTTAATTTTTTGAATAGGTTTGTCCCTTTTTATAAGATTATTTTTTAGTTTGTCTAAGCATTTAATACAATATTACCTATTTTATTCGTAATTTAATGTATTTAATACATTCTCTTTCTTCATTTATCTCACTATTACTCTCTCACATTTATCCATTTATATATAGAGGTATATTTGAAAAAAAATTGCATTTGCTACATATTAATTACTTTTAACTAATTTTAACTATTTTCTTAAACCGCGTAATTTAGTTAAAATGATCTTATAATGAGCGACAGAGTAGTAATATTTTAATTAATTTTGTCTTTTATATTTATTATTTTTAAGCTAATTTATCCAACTTTATTATAAATTGATATATAATCTAATCTAACATTACATATATTTCTTATATTAAGAATCAAGCGTAGCGCATATATATATATATATATATATATGCTTTGAGATAATAATTAAAACATAAGTCATAAATAGAGCATCTTTATGGCTTAGAAATATATCCTCCCTCTATTTCATTTTAATTATAAATATTTTTCTACACATAAAAGCTTAACTATATGATGGCAAAAAAAAAAGGCTTGTCTCTCTCTCTCTCTCTCTCTCTCTCTCTCTCTATATATATATATATATATAACTGAAACCTATCATGCTTCATTGAAAAGAATTAAGTGAAAGTCTAGCGGTGTCACTTTCATTCTCGCTGGCCTGCAGCAGCGAGACCATGCATACTGACTCAGTAAGTTTGTTGCCCCCATTAAATTTGAGTTTTGGAAATTAAACAGAAAAGAAAATAAAAATATGTGGTCTCAAATTGGAGTCTATATATGCTTTTCAATTAAACCTGATAATGTTCAAATTCGACTCAATTAGAAGTCACATCAAAGAAGAATAAAAAAAAAATCAACGCACTGACCATCATGAAGTATCGACACAGTACTTTTGTCCTTTATTCAGAAGTGGTACGTGATGAGACAATTTATTTTATACTATGCTTTGGATTATTAGACTTGTCATTTGAATTTCATGACATAAAATTAACAATATTAAAAAGACAGCATTATTATCTTCAGCTGAACTTTTTCGATTCAGAGATACACTTGAAGTTTCTTCACGGTGAGATTCAATAAGTATATTCTGATAGTAGAAACTAATATATCTCCCAATTTACTAGAGCCAAAGGATAAATTCTCAAACTCTATATTTTCACGCAGCGTTGTATTATTATATTCTTACCCTCATTATTTTTTTAATTACTATGATTATTATTTTTCAACTGAATGCTCTATATTATTGGGTGAATCCGTACATAAACTAGAAATAACAATTAATGTACAGATATCAAACGCCTGATTGCCATAATAATTAATATATTTGATGCTCTTCCGACACCAAATTTTGCAGAGCTTTCGGTTTAATGCATGAGTAAATACAACACTATGCAATAATATAGTAGTGTGTGTATATATGAGCTTCCGGTTTGTTATTTTTTTCCACATAGTTATTTTATATTATACTGCCTTCAATCTTAATTATAAGACTTCATTTGTAATCTAAGTCCGGAGGTAGTATATATCATATTCCATGTTATGTACTTCCATTTAAAATTTTAATGCATTTGTTTTTTCATAAAAAAAAAAATCAAATTATCGAAGTTGAAAAGGTTAGGAAGTTTCATTATTCATTATACTACCTTCAATCCTAATTATAAGACTTCATTTGTAATCTAAGTCCGGAGGAAGTATATATCATATTCCATGTTATGTACTTCCATTTAAAATTTTAATGCATTTGTTTTTTCATAAAAAAAAATCAAATTATATGGTGATGAAGTGGGGTCAGAAGGACAGGAACATCCATTAATAAAGTACTTCGTCTTTATGGGTGGAGGTGATGACTTGTCCCAATATCCCCCCCCCAAGCTCCACAAGTAGCTAATATTTTTTTTTGGGGTGGAAAAGTATCATTATTATTAATCATTATGCACTTTTTAATTAATCAATGCTTAATCCTAATAAGCCCTAAGGCCTTAAACCTACCTATTTGGGAATGGACACGCGTGATTTTGATGAATGGGATCGATCGCCCCATCCCCCCAATTGCTTGGTTCTTAATTAATTATAACTACTTTATATAAGAAGCTCTTAAATAAGTTGAAACTTCTCATGAATCAAATAATTCTTTAATTTCAATACTAGGGTTATATTTTTTCTCATGAAGCTAAAATTTCCTCCATCGCACAATAATTTCATAACGATACTACATACGCAAGACAATGACTGGATTTGATCTTTTTTTTTCTCAAGCGTAAAAATTGTAAGTTATTTAATTGGATGAATACATTTTTTCTTTATAAAATGAACTGTTTTCAGGTGCCATCATCCAATCCAAATTTAAGTACTATGGAATCTAAATAGCAAAATATTAAAGAAATTTTATCGCAAACTTGAAATATGCGAATAATAATATTCTACAAAGAATTGAGCGTGATGCTGTTTAGAAAAAGACGTGGAGGGTTGGTTCAAAGAATGCAATGGACAAAGTCAAAAAGTCAGATATGGATAAGTGTGAAAGAGAGTGGGCCCCACATGGGAGCATGGCAATGCGTGCCAGGTGACGTAGATGCTAAGGTATCATAAAAATGTCGTATCAGCATCCAATCAGATGCTTACAGCTCCCCAAAAAACGACAAAACACCCTCAAGCTTAAAAGACCCATTCATCTCCTTTCAAACATTTCAAACACCCTCCTTCTTCTTCAACCCCTTAAATGACAATAACAAAAATGGAGCAGGATCTCCCTCCTGGCTTCAGGTTTCATCCCACTGATGAAGAACTCATCGTCTATTACCTTTATAACCAGTACAGATCAAAGCCATGCCCTGCTTCTTTCATCCCAGAAGTTGATATCTATAAATTCGATCCTTGGGACTTGCCCGGTACACACACACACACACGTGTGTGTAAGTTTATATTATTGTTTGTTATTGCCTGAAACTTGTTTCTGAACGTGTTATATAATGCAGAGAAAGCAGAGTTTGAAGAGAAGGAAAGGTATTTCTTTAGCCCACGAGACAGAAAGTACCCTAATGGAGTGAGACCTAACAGAGCCACTGTGTCTGGGTATTGGAAGGCCACTGGGACGGACAAGGCCATACACAGTGGGTCCAAGCATATTGGGGTGAAGAAAGCTCTGGTTTTCTACAAAGGGAAGCCACCAAAAGGGGTCAAGACTGGTTGGATCATGCATGAGTATCGTCTCGTTGAATCCAGGACTTCATCACAAGCCAGAAACAAGCATGTTGGGTCCATGAGAGTAAGCCACTTTCAATCTTATCTCTGGCTCAGTTTCATTTGCCTTCTATAATTTTCTGCTTCTTCGTTGAATTCAACTTAACTCTGTTTGGGTGTGATATCATGTCATCAGTTGGATGACTGGGTTCTGTGCAGGATCTATAAGAAGAAGAATACGGAGAAGACGACGATGGAGGAGAAAGAGGAATTTCCCGCTACTGAGAATCGTAAAGAAACAGCTACAGGGAATAATTATCAGAAGAATGAGCAAGAAATGATGATGATGATGAAGCTTCTTCCAAGGACCTTTTCGATTGCTCATTTTGTGGGAATGGATAATTACCTGGGTTCATCAGTTTCACAGATATTTCCCGAAGCACGTTACAATTCAACGTTTGATCTTCAAAATAACGCTTCGTCCAATTCTGGAATAGTGGAATCCTTTGTCAAGCCTCAGATATTTCCAGACCATAATTATGCACAAGATTCTACAGGAAGTTTTCAAGTGATGAAACAGAGTGGCGAGCAGCCAATGTTTGTGAACCAAGTGCATGCTGATCTTTGAGGATATATATGACCAATGAAGAATATATGATTGATTGGATTATTAATTTAGACATAAATCAAAATGGATCAACGTCATTCATAAGATTCTTCCTGGACATATCTACTATGTTACCACAGGAATCCACACGCGCGCGCAAAACAAGCCAGGCTTCTTTTGGTTAAAATTTGTATAAGTGACTTTTATTCCAACTGATTTTGGTAAAATGAGGTTGGGATAAAAATCAATGAGCATAATATGATTTATATTTAGATAGAATTTTATTAAAAAAAAAGTCAGTAATTTAACATAAATTTATTCAAATAATATATTGAAATGTCAGTTTTACAAGATTTAAATATCAAGGAAAATTAAAAGACATAAAAAGTTGTTTTAGATTTAATTTGGCTTTCGACCCAGAAGCTTATAAGGCATCCCAAACTAAGATGCATTTGGGTTCCTGTGACAAAATACTAATTTTGATCCATAATTATGGTGAAAGCATGTGGTTAGTTATTATTTGTTTCGCTTGGTTGCCCTCTAAAAAAATATGATTGAATAGTTTTCAACATAAAAGCTAAACATAGAGAACTGATTATAATGCTACCAACATATAGCATAAATAAAAATTAAAGCCGAACCGAGCAATTTTTATGTCCATACATACCAGCTCCTCACTCAAATTACTATGTTATGAATAATACCGGCTCCTTATGCGTGGCTCCGTGCTCTCTCTTTCTGTTTTTTTTTAATTTATAAAAATAAACATAGAATATTGTTTTAATCAAAGAGTAATAATTATCACATATTAAAAGAACATTGTAATTTCAACCAAAAAAAAAAAAAAGAACATTGCAATTCTCCGATGTTCGCTTAATCCACACTACTGTACTTGACATTTTCAAAAGTTCCAATTAAGATGCTTACGCATGTATTGATGGAGAACAAGGCCAATAATCAAGGTTTTAATTAAAAATATAAATATATTCTTGGTGTTCATATTGTGACGATGACTTTAAAATGATTATGGATACAATTGGCAAATTCTGTACGATAAGTCAATAATTGAAAACAAAAGGAGCTTTCTAAACTAGCTATTACGTAATTGTTATTGGCCATGAAAAGTTAGCACGCGCGCGTGGCCTGTATATCGAAGGGATGACTAAAGCACTGATGAAAGTAGCCATTACTAACCTTGTGAAAAGAAATTGTTCAAACGGACCGCGAGAGTGATATACATGGATCCGTTTAGGTTAACGGTAGAAAAAATAATTTATTTTTAATCTGATTCTTAAAAAAGTGACATTGACTAAAAATTAAATGGAGTAACGTGATTTATATTTGAATTAATTTTTATAAAAAGTAGTTTGTAAAGTAAAAAAATTGGTTGGATTATGATTGAATAAGCAAGTTTAGTTTGTAGAATGACCAAAATGGATATAACTTTTATTAAATAATGAAAAATGATTAAAAATATAAATTTATAAAATATAATAATTATTATAATAGGAAGAAGTTATATTTAATGAATAAAACATATTTAAACTAGAAATCATAATAATGTGAAAATTTTTGAATCAAACAATATTACATAATTAATTGGATGATATACTCTACATAATTTATGTAAACATAAAATAAAAAATAATATTAAAAATTAAAAATATTATAAAAATGTTAAAAATTATTTTCACTTAAAAGAATATTAAAAATAAATAACTAAAAATTGATTGAGAAGCATAAGGAATATATAGAGAAGCATAAAAATATCATAAATATAAGGGTCAAAATGTCTTTTAGTTTCAAAAAGATGTTTTTACATAAGTCATAAGTAAGTTTTAGATGCTTTTGACTCCTAAGTCAGATTGGCCAAAATCTATGATAAATATCGTCTAAATTTGCAAACTTCCTATAAGTTACTTTTTCCCTCCTCAAATGCGTTGCCATTCTGCCAAAAAAAGGCTTTTAACGGCGGTTATTAGTGGTTTTTCACGGCGGTTTTGAAGGCGAAGTTGATACAGGCGACGTTGAAAGGTTAACAAAACACGGAGGTTGAGAACCGTCGTGGAAAGTTAAAATTCCATGGCGGTTATGTAAGAAACCGCAGTGGAAAGTTAGATTTCCACGGCGATTACATAAAAACCACCGTGAAAAATAATTTTAACGGCGGTTATTCAATAACCGCCATTAAATTTTTTTTTTAATTCTGCGTGATTTTCTTTTTTACCACCCCACAATTTATAGTTCCAAATAAATGTAGGCAGTACAAAATACGCAAAACAAGACCATATGAACAAGTAATCAACTAGTTAGTTAATATATATAGCAAGCATTAAAATTTCTTTTACACAAAGCAGAAATAGAGAGCCACGAGAACTAAGGGGAACCTAAGACCAAAGAACACGTATAGGGACCAGGAGAACCAGCATCTTGAAAGAAAAGTAACTACTTCTGTCTGTACAATAGAAATAATGAACACATATAGAAGGAAACTAAGAGAAAATATCTAAAAATAAATTTTTTGGGGAATGACCTAACTATTTGAAAGTTTTAACATTTTGTAGTAATGTTGTTGACAAAGTGTCCCTTATCAAGTTGATGTCATCCATGGGATATGGCGCAATATTTTGAAATACCTGTTAATAAAAAATAACATAGTAAACTTAATCAAAAATGTGAAATGAATTGAAGATGGTCATGCAATGTAACTTATCTTTACCTCGTCTAATTTTTCAGTCACTCTTGTCTCAATAATGTCATTCATGTAGCAGATGACATAATATCCACATTCAACATGTCCTTGTTGACAACGGTACTAACAAAATAAAATATAAAATTGAATATTAGACATTATTGATTATAAACATTAACTTTAATTCATCTAAAAAGGTTTAAAAGTATATATTTAGTTCAAAACAACATACCTTTGGGAGAATCCATATTGGTAGTTGTCTATTTTGTTTATTCGCCACAATATTGAACCCATGAAAAACCCTATCAACAGTATAAAAGAAAATAATATTAGAGCATGTTTTTATAAACTTCACACGTAATAAATATATAAACATAAACTAACATGTCGATGACATCTTTGGTTTCTTCTGATGGACTTTCACAAAGTGAATCGAACCAGTAAACTTTATTATCGAAAGGGATACAAACAATTAGAGTCCAATGATAACTGCAAAAGACAAACCATGTTAATTATAATCCCACACATACAACTTGTGTATCTCAAATACAATAGTACATTTACCCTTCCACGTAAGGTACAAAATATATTGGCTTTTTGGTCTGAGTCATTGTGGTAATCATGTAGATCGACCTCGCTTCCACAGTATTAAGCTCTTTCTACACCCTTTGAGGACACATAAAACCATATGTTCCTTCAAGTCCTCCGTTCTGACAGATTTGAGTGAAGTGCCTATTGTTCAAATAAGAAACATTAGGAGTACAACATGAAATAAAAAAAAGATATTGTAACTTACAAAATAGCAAGCTGTATGAAGACTATATCAAGCTCTTCAAAGTTGAGGAACTGAGCAAAGTCCTTCTTGTCAACGGTGAAATCGTATGTTATATCTGAATCCACAATCTCTAATAGCATCTTGAAAGTAACAGGCTTATCTATGTTTGGCACTATGGAATGAAGGACCTTCAAAATGGAATACATAAGCACAACATCACCAAGAAGAGGCAGGAGTACAGGATCTGATGATGCGCTCTTCATAGCCTTCTTCGCTGCCGCCTTCTTCACCATTGGCTTTGCAATAAGTCTCTTTGGCCACAAAATGAAATGTCCTTTAGCTTAGGCCAAGAGTCGAATCTCATTAGTAGGATTGGGCACTGGTGTACTGCCCTGACCACGAACAATCCTCTCTACTATCACCCTTGCTTGATCGCTTGGAATTTTGTTGCCGTGAATCGTTGTGCCCATGAATGCTCGACCACTAGCGACATGAACAAGTGAATTTTCATAATCCACATAGAGAGTACACGGTATCCCATTGTCTTCGATAGGGTCAGGGCTAGGGTTAGGGTCAAACATTGTCAGTTGCTGTGTCTGATTATTACTGCCTTTCTTGCTTTTTATCACAGGTGAATCCTGAAACATAATATGAAATTAGTTAAGGCATATCAAATAAGTTTAAATAGATCAAATGAACCTTTAGAAGATTTGAAAAGATATGTGATTATTACTTGGGAAGGTTCAGATACTCAGGGCATCTGGAATTCACTCGTGCCCATCATCATCAGAGCCTGTTGAAACTTGCCATCGAATTCGTCACGTATCTTTTACATCTCTATCATGTGTTGTTGACTGAGTTCAGCTTGAACTCTCTCTGTTTCTTCCTGTAATCGTTGGTCGAGCTCCTCTTTAGATACCATGTTAGCAAAGGATGATCCAGTGCTTCTTCGTGAAGCAGAGCTAAAAAATTCTTCAATACCAATCCCTTTAGGGGTCCCTCTAACTCTGCCGGGATGGTCAGCCTTTCCAACGGTAGTGGCCAAGATATCCATTTGTCCTTGAGGGACGAATGTACCTTGGGATAATTGATCCTCAAGTGTATCCTGTAACATTAAAGCAACAAATTCAATTTAAGATAATTGAAAAAAGCAATTAATGAAGCATAATTCTTAAATATTACTTACAATCTTCTCAGCAATAGCAGCAGACTGTGGAGTAATATATTGAACCTTTTTAATCCTCGCCGCCTTCCATTTTTCTTGGTGAGAAGAACGCTCAATGAGTGGAGTGTAGCCAGTAGGATTTGAAGCAGCAGCCATCTGTGCATTCTTTATCTGCTCCTCTATCATACTACTTTCCAACCCACCATACCCTGCACGAGACATGGTATGTGGGTACATATTGTGCTCAGATATTTATTTGTTCTTCTAACTCAATGCCTATGACAATGAAACAAATTTGACAAAGTTATTTTAGTTAAATAAAATATGACCTAATTAAAAATTAAGTTCGAAGAAACCAAACCTGAAATGCAGGGTCTTCACGTTGCTTCACAAAACTCTCCTATGCCTTGTCACTAATAAACGGGTATCGTTCCTTAGAATGTTCGCCCTTTCTTTTTTCACAAATATAATGTTTTGTAAGCTTGGATTTAAAATCCCTCCACTGTTCATCAAGTTGCTTAAATAGATGATTTCTCATTTACTCAGTGGCGGGAATATCAAATGTCAGCTACAATACAATAACATAAAGTTATAAAGTAAATAAGTAATTATAATTAAAACAAGTAGAGAAAATAATTCATAAT